GGGGCAAAATCTAAATTCAGAAACCTTACTGCACATCTACCTGACACCAACAACCATCTCCCAAAAGATGATTAGGCTACTGTGTAAAATGTAGAAGGACTTCAGGGAAGACGGGACTTTTTGCACAAAAAACGTCATTTTTCGACCCCCATTTGACCCCCAAGGGCAAAATCGAAATTCTGAAACCTTACTGCACATCTACATGACCCCACCAACCATCTCCCAAAAGATGATTAGGCTGCTGAGTAAAATATAAGAGGAGTTCAGGGAAGACGGGGCTTTTTGTATAAAAAACGTTATTTTTCGACCCCCATTTGACCCCCCGGGGCAAAATCTAAATTCAGAAACCTTACAGCACATCTACCTGACACCAACAACCATCTCCCAAAAGATGATTAGGCTACTGTGTAAAATGTAGAAGGAGTTCAGGGAAGACGGGGCTTTTTGCATAAAAAACATCATTTTTCGACCCCCATTTGACCCCCTGGGGCAAAATCAAAATTCCGAAACCTTATTGCACATCTACATGACACCACCAATCATCCCCCAAAAGATGATTAGGCTGCTAAGTAAAATGTAAGAGTAGTTCAGGGAAAAAAGACGGGGCTTTTTGCATAAAAAACTTAATTTTTGACCCCCATTGGACCCCCCGGGGCAAAATCAAAATTCCGAAACCTTACTGCACATCGTAAAATGAGTAAAATGTAGAAGGAGTTCAGGGAAGACGGGACTTTTTGCACAAAAAAGTCATTTTTCGACCCCCATTTGACCCCCCGGGGCAAAATCAAAATTCCAAAATTAAGCTACTGTGTAAAATGTAGGAGGAGTTCAGGGAAGAAAAGTGTGACAGACGGACGGACGGACGGACATGAGTAACAACAATATACCCGAACTTCTTTAGAAAGTGCGGGTATAATGATTAATTCTGTATTGAAGCCATTGTAATTTACTATTTTGGGTTGTTAAAAAAGGCAGACAATAAAATTCTTTCCAGTTTGTATCAGTCAAGGTGAAAAATTTTGCCCATTTTCCCATACCAACAGGTTTTATTTATTTACTGATTTATTTAATATATCATACATAGGCTTTGATCCTTTTTTGGTTAATACAAAGACTTGGATATTACATGGAATATCTGGTTTATGAATAAATCCATTTCTACAAAAGTTATACTTCTTTAAATCTGCAAGTATCGCTTGTTATATGCCTGTATAGGTTAAATAATTAATTTTCAAATCATAATTGTGTTGAATATTGTCTAGTGATAGGAAGTTACTGTTCTCATCTAAAAGATCATATACATATTTTATTCCCTTTGCATACCAAGACTTGTAAAATATTGCTTGATTTTCGATTTTGAAATTGTTGTTATGCCATAAAGGTTGACAGGCATATTCTTGCCAATTTCTTATCTCACTAAATGATACTCCGGCCCTCCATATGAATATAATAACATTTCCATGTTTTGCTATGGGAAAACCAAAATATGTGTCGGATCAAAAAGTAAAAAAGGAGGTCATAATGGCAATATGTAATAAAGATACAGTGAAAGTTTCATCAAATTTCATTCAGTGGTATGAGAGGAGCTGTGGATAAGAGATGGGTACCCCAAAGCGTTACAAACGGACGGATGGACATACTGATCACTATATACATTCCCGCTTGAGAAGAGGGGGTACAAAAAAATCTCTCAAATTCAAGACACCTAGCTTTCTATTTTGTGACTGTATAGATTTGTTGTCTTTTTGGGTAGAAAGGTCATTCTATTTGCAAGAAAATTCTCAAAGTTTATCATCTGGAATCACATTGTGTGCATATTTTGGTGAGAAAAGTTGTACAAGTATGCAATTTGAGAGCGCCTGCAGATTCCTTGTGATTTCTATCACGTACAAGCTTTCGTACCAATAGGCCTAACTTCAATCTAGTCAACACTTCTCTTGACAACAAAATTTTCTTGAACACTCCAAGAACTTTACAAGGCAACTTGATCACACTTCTTTGTTAGGATAGTTTAAGGTTGTATCAAGAATCAAGGGAAAATTGAACACAAACATTTTCCTCTTTCAGATTTTGTAAATTGAATACACTTTTCAATACAAGATTATCCGTTCAAGACATGAAATTTTTGTGAATGCAGTTGAATTTTTGACTGAGAATAACAAAATGCAAATGCAGGGACACAGAATCATAGCTGGACTATCAAGAAAATTAATGGTTTATGTATATTTTACTGATAATATTTAATAAATATGTTTGTATTTGGATATCACTGGTGGAGTATATTATATTCAGATGTCTATACTGTAACAATTACTAGCCCTCTAATTGGTCGTGGTCCATCATTTTAAAAATCATATTAAGTTATGTTGCGTTAGACCTTCCACATGAACATAAAACATTTATTTTTATTCTAAAAATAGATCAAGAATTTCTAACAACTAATATGAATTAGTAACCCTCGAACTACAATGTTTACTCGCTTTAATACTCGGGGAATACTGCTCTTGGGGTAGCTTAATTTTCAGATTATCTTCTAAACAGTAATTATTGTATGATAGTATTAACTTTTCTATGAATAAGCATGGTGAGACAGGTAAAAGGTAAAATGCCCTCGGAATTGTCGTCAAAAGTTTATCTTAATAATAGAAGTAATTAAACAAAAATCTGTGTCATAAAAATCCTAAGTCATTTACAAAAGTATCCTCCAACTTCCATTGCTTACTTGATCATTATATCATTAATAAAAAAAAACCATACAAAGTGTAATTTATTCTCTTCAAAACGACTCAGAATTAAGCAGTTTTAGTATTTTACGAAGTTCGAGTGTATATGACGTCATTTTGAATTGCCATTTTGAACTAATTAATAGATTTCAAATTTAAACGACTAAATTTTCCGAATCAAAGTAATGATAATATTAGTGTTCTATTGCCATTTTACGTAGTTGTACTATGTTCTGTTAGATTTTCACAAATTCTATTTAAACGGCATTAAGAAATAATTTGAAAAAATATGAATATCCGCCATTTTGAATCGCCATTTTGACTTTTAACTTACAGCTGCACCATCATTTAATGGTAGAAAAGAGAGATGTAGAAAAAAATACAAATCTGCAGTATATTTATGTTAGCAAATGTAAAATCCTGAACAAAGCAGAATATAGAAACAATAGACAAATAGACGAATTGAGTGTAAAAACGACTAATTTTTTGAGTTAAATTAATTAGATTAGCATTCTATTATCATTTTTATAGTTGTAGTACACTCAGTGGGATATTTACACATTATTTCTTCATTTTGAACGATATTAAGAAAAAATTAGAAAAATTGGATGTCCGCCATTTTGAATCGCCATTTTGACCTCTTTAACGCCATTTTCATGAAGGCCAGCATATTTTTTTCGGAATCAGCATACTCAAATTAGGTTAAAAAACTATGCTGGACCAAATAATAATTATTTGCCGTTAGAAGTTATTTCTAGCCTTCTGTTTAAAAATCAGGACCAGACTTTTTGGACAAGGTCATTGTATCGACCATAGAACTAACGAAATGATGACTTTAAACGAGATTGATATTCTTGTTTAGTCAACTTGCTTGTCAATATTTTACCTCGTTTTAGAAATTGTTCATACGTACAGCATGCTCCTGCGTATCGAATCAACTGAGATATATATTGTCACTGATAGTCGAGCGGATTTACCATTTTACAAAATTTTAAATATAACTCAAACTATTCTTTCTTTCTTACTATTTACATATTTAATTATTCATGATAAAAATGTACAAAGTCAATGTGATTGCTGCTGTTGTCCTGGTGACCAGTTGCACCTCTTGCTTTCCACCTCACAGGCTGGAGGATGGACTATAGGTTCCAAGGGTGGCGGCCTATATACTACACTCCAAGGGCGATATACACTGGGCAACTCACTGTCGTATACCAACTTTGACGTATGGCTGGAACCTGCTCCAGCATATACATACAAGTTTTACTTACAAGCTCTAGTGGCTTTACACAAAAATGCTTTACATTCATTATATGATCATAATGAACACGTCTTAGATATTAAAGACTCATTTACATACACTCATGAGAAGTTACAATTATACGTAGAACTTCTACACAGATGCAATATTACGATTTGCTACTCTACTGACAAACTATTATGACAGCAATTGTACACCGTACTTTTAAATAGTCAAATACGTGTTAATAAATATATAGAAATCAAATTAAACGAAACATACATGCTAAAAATGATGAGAAATACGGTTTCTAGATGTTTTAGGACAAATGAATGATACTTTACACTGTAAATAACTAAAATGAAAATATAAACGACCTTGCCTCAGAAAAGCTGGACCATAGTGTTCTTTTTAAAAAGAATGGAATGCCAGAGCAAACCCTGCAAGTTTTACTCAGTACATACAAAATATAAATGCTGGATATTCAAATCAAGGTTATACGTGAGAGGGGTAAAGACGTCCTCCACTCTGGACTGCCGTGTCCAAACTATCTTGCACGGACCTGGCGGGTTTAAAGGTCCAGTGAATTGAGGTTCAATAAAGGTATATACAGTTAAAACATGTCTAAAAATAAAGGGGTTCCACACGAGATATATGCATAAAATTAAAAAACTGTAACGAAATTATAATATGGGGATTCTAATGTGCGTTCCATTCATTCGTTCCGATTCGATTCCGGACGCTCTGTTCTTCGTGATGAATGGAATGAACCGGAAATGAAGAGAAATTTTCAACATGTCTGTTAATGGACGGAAAGCGTGTTTCCTTTATGTTTTATTTGAAGATTCCGACACAATGACTCTGATTCTGAGGACGAAAATATATTATTAACTGCACTAGCAAGCACTATGTAAGTAAATACATCATGTGTGTTTTATAGTGGCTTAGGTATTAGAATTGAAACAAAAATTTAAAAAAATCTTAAGGGAGGTTGGCATATGAAATAAATATTCATTTGGACGTTTTTTCATTTACAGAAAGAAAGAAAATCCAAAAATTTATGGATATGTGGAGGCTGTGGTTCCCCTTTATTCTGATGCTTCATTTAGAAGAATGTTTCGAATGTCAAGACAGACATTTCAAATCCTCTCTTCATATCTAGAGGAAGTTCGAGAGATGAAGAAAGGCGGTAATGGTGGTAAAGAACGAATGCCTCCACATAAAGAAATTTTAAATTTTAATAGGGACTCTGGACAGCATTGACAGAATAGCAGATCGTTTTTGAATTTCGCCATCCTCGGTAATCAGGGCTAGAGACCGTGTTATGAATTCAATTCTAACTCATCTCAAGACAAACTTTATAAAATGGCCCTATCCCAATGAATTAAACCAAATTGCAAACAATTTCCAGCAAAAGAACGGATTTCCAGAGATTGCTGGTGCAGTAGACGGGACTCATATTAGAACATCAAAACCAAATAACAATGGAGATTCATACATCAATAGGAAGGGATTTCCTTCCTTGCAGTTACAAGGGGTATGCAAGGAAGACATGATGTTAACTCATGTATTTACCGGATTTCCAGGAAGCTGTCACGACGCAAGAGTTCTTAGGAATTCCGATTTATGGGAAAATGGATTACAAATGATTCCAAATATACCATATCATAGCTGACGCAGCCTATCCAGTAAGAAAAATGGCTACTCACTCCCTACTGAGACAATGGTCACCTGACACACGAGCAACGCCGCTATAACAACTACCTGTCCAGCAACAGAATGGTAATTGAGAGAACATTTGCTCTTCTGAAGGGTAGATTCCGCCGATTGCGTTTCCTGGAAACCCAGAAAATCGAGTATGCTGTCAAAATTATCATGACCTCTTGTGTTTTACACAATGTCTGCATTTTCAACCATGATGAAGTAGATAAATTCATGCAGCAAATTATAATGTTACAGGAATCAAGGGCTGTAAAGCCCAGGGTGTACTGAAACGTAATCAAATAGCCAGGAATCTTTTGTGATAGGCTAACTTCAGAATGAACGCATCATTTTTTTAAACATCATATTCGAAAAAGAATACAGTAACTGTTCAATACAAGTTTATACAGAAAAATATAACAATGTAACAAAACTCAATAAAAGATGTCAAATCGAACTTGGATGTTTTTTTTTCATGTAAATAAAACTATGGAACATGTTAAAAAGAGTCTAAGATAAATCTTGATAGGTATTTAAAGTAAACTGTAAAAAGTCCTTTACAGATTAATTCACAGATAGATTTGATGAAATTTAGAGTGCAATCCATGTATTTAGATTACATGGCACAAACATTCTTTTCCTTACAGCTTACAAGATAATAACAACAAATAATACTTGAGTACAATACATCATGGTCATGAAAGAAAAAAAAAGATTGTTTCTCCAATAGACATTGCCATAAATGAACTTAATACAAGGTCAAAAAATTAATTAATCATTGCAGCTGCCTACAGATCCACTTACAATGAATCTACCCCCCATTTCACCTATTCATCAAAATTATTTTTTAACACTTAAGTTTAAGAGAATTTAGTTGTCTAAACAATATATATTTCAAAAAAATTTACTTAGTACTCAATTATGTCCATGAATTAACTTGTTAAGGGGCTTAAATAAAGCAGGCTGGTGCATTCAAGCATCCTTAAAAATCACAAGATTTGTAATGTTTAAAAGCCAAACAATTTCCTTTAAAAAAAAATCTCGCCACTCTTATAATTGTGGGTAAACAATTGCAAAAAAAGTTTTTTTAAGCTTTGGCCAAGTCTTAAATCCATGTAATACGTTATCCATCCCTGTTTTTTTCACTTCCTAGCAAGTAATCATGAACAAATGTATAAAAAGTTTAATACTTGGACAAAATAAAAAAGAAAAATGATGTTAAAAAAAATCTATTTGGGACTTTATTGTAAATAATAAAAACTATTTGTTAAATGTACCAAAAGAAAATAAAAAATGCACACAATTCTGACTAGCAATTCTCCAATAACAGTTTGTGTAATGTATAGTTGCACATAATTGAATTTTCAGGAAAAAAAACTTTTCCTCTGCAAGGAAAAAAAACCAACAAACAGTTGAAAAAAGATTGCATTGCTTTCAGCGATAAAGTAAAATATTTAAAGTCCTACCACAAATACTTGGAAAAGTTTCATGTCACAACCAAGAACAAAGTTTTCAAAAATGAAACAACCCATTTTACCAGTTTGTGCCCTTGTGGTCAAGAGTCTATGTAAAAAACACTTTAACTTTTTTCACAATTGTTGATCTGCATATTGGACAGACTTCTAGAGCCTTGTTACACAAGGTGGCCCCAGTCAACAAACACTACTTCTTTTGGATGACTTTCTTCCAAACAGATTTCACATTCACCTGAAAAGATATATCAACAAAAATTTAACAGGGTTTCCTATGAGAAAAGTCAAGATCATGTAATATGTAATCTTTAACATCGTCATGGAGTAAGAACTTGTAAAAGGATTAAATTTAACAATAGTACATGTATTGTAAAAATTATGACCAAACACATGTAATGGAATGTTTCATATTCTTTGATTTCAAGGAACTAAATGTGTACATTAATTGAAAATAATAAATGTTAAAATCAAAATTAGATAATTCAACTCTCTACGGATTCACACATAAACTACAAGTAAATACATGTCAGCCATATGCATATTTTAATTTTATCATGTTAGGATATTTGTGCTAAGCCAAGGTATAAGGAACACAACACTTACTGGTGATGTGCTCTCATTGTCTCAATGAGTTTTTTTCATCAAATCCACCTTTTCATGATGTATTTTTTTCTTTTCGCTCATTTTCCTCCTTTCTTCTCTTTTCATGATTTTCGATAAAGTTTTTCATTACAACAATGACCTCTGTTGAAGTAGATCGCGATGTATGCTTTCTTTTCTTTGGATAAGTACTGGGCGCAGACGACCCTGAACTCTCATCGTCACCATCCTCTGAATCATTGGGAACTTCTGCAGAAATTTTGGAGTCAGTGCTACAGGCAGTTACTTCTGGAGTAATGGCAGGATCTTTGGAATATATTTCATCCAATTCAGACTCGTATTCAAAATTCTTTCTTCCAGATCCACTTTTCTTCTTATTGTCTTTGACTGCTTTGTATCCTCTCTGCAAAGTCTTCCATCTCCCTGAGACTTGCTCATAATTATAGGAGTATCCTTCATCTTTCCTGTGGCAATTTCCTCCAACATGGTTTTCTTCTTGATCAAACCTTTCTTAATTTTCTCTTGATATGTTTTGTATTTGGTTATTAGAAGTAAGGTACTAGAGCGTGTCCAAGACATACCTATATCCGCAGTACTGCATGAGGCAACTTTACTCTCCTTTTCATCTCCTAGAAAACATTAAAATCAAGAAATTTATACTTTCAATGCTTATCATTAAAAAAAAAATACTTTTTAGACACAACCTGTTACATGTATTTATTTATGGTGTTTATTCAGAATATGTAGATCATATAATATATAGAATTACTGTTTTTGAGTAACATTTTCATTATTTTTCTCTTGACATGAAATAAATCAACTACTATGTAATTAGTACGAAATTAGTTATGGGACTATTATTATTATGGGAGGAGGAAATATTTATCTCTGAAAGTGCATTCTCCAAGGTATACTAATCTGTAAATTTTTTAAACTTAAACATTAATTACCTGCTGGTGGTTTCTGACATATGTGGTCACCCATTGATTCCATATCGTTGAAGTAAATGCTGCACTTCTGGCACTGGGTTACCGTGCGTTTTTTCATTTGAGACTCGGAATTAACCTCCTGTGCTGTTTGTTTTGTCAAAAGGATAAAAATTATTTCCCCCGGCTACATATGAAAAAAATGGCTAATAATGTTCGCACTAAATATCCCTATAAGTTTAAGTTTTAAAATAAGCATTTGCAGAAAAATGTATGCGCAGTAACAAAACTCACTTGATTCCGTCGTGCATCTATGCATCTTAACATAATTTAAGCTGGAAAAGTACAAATTGCAGTCTTCAAATTGATAAAGCACGTTTTTGTCCGCCATTTTTGTTACGTAATAATTCCCGCTGCACCACCTCTTTAAAAAGGACAGAGAGAATCCGCCCGGGGTCGGATTCCAAATCGTTCCATTGCAATTCTACGCGTTCAGGCCCCCGGACCATGAAGCATCTTAAGCTTAAGTCAGAAATGCCTTAGGTGCTGAATTTATTTAGAAGTCAAGCAGCCCAAAATGAAAATGCCTTCCGATTTTGCATCATCAGTCTGCTGTTGTATGCAAATTATGAGTTTCCTTTAACAAGTTTTAAAGATTTTATAGATAATTAAAATTTTGACTTAAGTCTAAGTCTTTTTCATGATCCCGGGGCCTGGACGTTCGGAAGCGTGAAAGGAACGCACCTTATATACTCCGTATGCCGGTGATGAAGGTATATTGCTGCATAAGTAAGGCATCTGAATCAACCAGGAGTTTGTGTTTTTACTTTATCTACATTTTTTTATCCACTGAATTTTTACGAGTGATCACCATTCATTATAGTCATTTTTTATGCCAATGAGCACTATATTAACTTCTACTTATATGAGATTACTTCTCTCTGTGCTAGACATTGTTTAAAAAACGAATTATTTATCTCAGAGTTTTCTTATATTTCAATGAGTGTGTGTACAAAAATTAGATTATAACCTCAACAGTAAAAAAAAGAACACATATTTTATATTAGTTATTGTTTTATTGATGAGAAATATTTAACAACTTATAATTTTCCATATAAGTTTATTTGTAAGGGTTACACTATCAATATGCATTCTCTTCTTGATCGGAAGGCCCGAGTTCCCTTTTGTCTCGCTTCGTCAAAACCTAAGACATGAACTCATGTATGTAGCTACTGAATCTTTGCAAAACCATTCGGCACTTGAAGTGATACATGCATTCACAATTCTTTTTTAAAAGAAATTAAATCAAAAGATCCTGTGTTGCGATAGACACGATAAAAAGTCCTTACTGCTTAATTTTCCCGAGGGCCGAGTAAATTTCTAGATCGTGGCCCTTTTTAGAATATAGTGACATCACTGAGTGAACAGTTCTCAGAAGAAACGTAAACGACATGCAATAAGTCTTATAAGTTTAAGAGGCTTTTTTGTTTGTTAAATTGCGTAGAAGGTCTTAGTATCAAAATTTTAGAAATCTTATAAAAGATAATTTACGAAAATTATTTCG